AAGTCAAATGACCACTGTGTCAAACTACTGGAGATGATTTTATGGTGACTGTTTCCTGTGCGCTCCTGCAGATGGCGTATCACAGTCTGCAGCTGTTGGCATTCAGTGTGCTGGCCGTCCTCATCATGCGGCTGAAGCTCTTCCTCACGCCGCACATGTGCATCATGGCCTCGCTGATCTGCTCCAGACAGGTGGCTCTTGACGGCTGCGTCGCCGTGTTCTCATTCTAACGTAACTGAGCCTCTCCCTCCCCTTCTGTGTTCTCCTCAGTTAATGGGCTGGATCAAGGACAGGGCCAAACATCGGGCCGCCGTGTTCCTCGTGTTGGCCCTCATGGCGGTGAAGGGGGTGGCCAACCTGAAGGCCCAGTGGAGCATCATTGGGGAGTTTAGCAACATGCCTCAGGAGGAGCTGCTGGACTGGATACAGGACAACACTCTCCCCGGTGAGGGATATATTCACTCTACTGACACTAATACTATTGTGAAAATCTCCCTTTGTCTGTCCGTCCATCCGTCCATTTTTTTAAATCCACTTATCCTCACAAGGGTCGCTGACGTGCTAACCAGTCGACCACCGTGCAGCCTCTTTGTCTGTGTGGAGATAAATAAATAAATAAGTAAAACATTTGATCGAGAAGCCTTTAAGAATATTGACCTATGTACCGAAATGCGACCTTGCAATCTTCATGTTTTCGAGCGCACCAGAGATTGTTTTGTTGCCTCGCCAGGCTTATAGTTGCACAAACATTATGATTTTCCTGATTTTTCAGTGTTCTATGACAGTGCACACTCAGACAACACAACACGCATGCGTAACTTGGTAGAGCTCACACGCATAACAGTGTGCATGTCGCATTCACTTTTTTGGTGTGTTATGTGACGCAGATGCTGTGTTTGCGGGTGCAATGCCCACAATGGCCAGCGTGAAACTGTCCACGGGTCGACCCATCGTTAACCATCCCCACTACGAAGATGCTGGTCTGAGGTCAATGGGAGAGTCACATGACCACTAGTAGTCATGCGATTGGACTCTGATGCTCAATGACTATGTTGTGTTGTGTTCCCCAGGGAGAGAACCAAGCTGGTGTACTCCATGTATAGCCGCATGTCTGCAGAGACTGTCAAGAGCAACTTGAACAAGCTGGGAGTCGACTTTTTTGTTCTGGAAGATTCTTGGTGTACCAGGAGAACCGGGTATGATACGCCACTTCAAGTAGTGCTGTGATGAAATCGCCATATCGTATCATTTTCATACTTGAACGTGTTTCATCAACTGGGTGTCGCCAACGTTTGAGAATGAACAATATTTTCTAAGCAGCGGATAAAACATAAAATATTATTTCCGCTTTTTTCGGGATGAATTGCCAAGACTCATAACAGCAACAATATGAAGCTGACCGTCTTTTTTCACATTCCACAAGGCCCGGCTGCAGCATGCCAGAGATCTGGGACGTGGAGGACCCGCAGAATGTGGGTAAAATTCCTCTGTGCACGCACATGTCCAGGAACTCACGACCACACTTCAACACCGTCTTCGCCAATCACATCTACAAAGTCCTCAAAGTGGCCAAAGATGCCAGATAACGGCACTCAACGTCTTTTGCTTTTGAACTTCCCCGTTTACCAATGGAAGCCTTATTTTTTATTTTATTATCATTTTTTTTGTAGTAGTAGCCTTTTTTTGGGGGGGAGGGTACAAAATTCCCAGTAAAAAATGTGATAGATTATGTGTCGTTTATCCACCTGATACTTTTATGCAGGCCTGGAAAGTAGGATATT